GATGATTGCAGAACTACAAATAACATATCATCTAATTTATTTCTTACATAAAAATAGGGTTGGACAACCTCTCCATTTACCAATAGAAAAAATGTACATCCAAGTACATGGGCTTGGCCATGTAACCTGGATTCTTTTTTAATTGAATTTTATATTTTAATTTCATCATTTAATAGTGAATTGATTATGAATTGAACTTTATAATTTTTTTTTATAAGGTTATTCTAGTATTATAACTTCAATCATAGACTTGACGAGTCTACCTCGTAGTTTTTTTGTGATTTTTTATTAATTGATTTTTTTTTTAATTTTAATCCTTTAACATTAGATTAATTGAGAATTGAGTTTCATTCTTTGTTTGGATTTGTTTTTTTATAAGATTATCATTATTTTATGACTTGAGTCGTGGGTTTGACAAATTAATCCAAGTTGATTTGGATCTTTTTTTATTTTTTTTTTAATTTTATCATTCAACATTAGATTTATTTGAAATTAAAATTTATAAGTTGTTACAATTTGTTTTTTATAGAGTTATCATGGTCACACGAATTGTAAATTTAGCAAATGAACTCGTAATGATCCAATATTCTGTTGTTTTAATATTTAAAAAAAATATCATATTAAATATATATTTTTTTAATCAAATTATATTTATACTAATTATATATATTATTTTCAAACTCACAAAGTTAATTATATCATATCATATTAACCTCAGTAACGTTTTAAGTTTTTTAACTAGAAAACATGAGCACTTGAATATTTTTTTATATTCGAATCCACGGCATAGCCTGTAACAATAATCTAGTAAAAGTCACTAAAATGCATTTGGTTAAACGCAGATACCATACCACTATTTATCTTTGCGTTTCAAATTTCAAACGGAAGATATCATCTTTACTATATATAAAAAATAAATAATCATTTTAACAATATTCATTCATCTCATCACGTGCGCATGGCACGTGTGAAAACCATTCGGTGGCACTATAGAACTGAAGATCGAAAAAAAACCGCAGCAGCAAAGAGATCTACAAGCAAAGCAAGGCTAAGCTAAGCTCAGAAGTGGACAATAACACAAAAATGGGAGTGGAGAAACAAGTTATCAGACCCGGAACTGGTCCCAAACCAACTGCTGGTCAAAACGTGACCGTCCATTGCACTGGTTTTGGTTAGCTAGCTCTTTTTTTTGACAAAACCCTATTTTTATTTTCTTATTTTGATTTGCAAGTTAGGAATTCTATTGCTTTCTGTCTGGTTACTGATAAAATCTATGAAAGTATAGAGACTTGGGATATGAGTTTTACAATATTGTGAAAGTTTGGGTTTTTCTATACGGGTTTATGAGATTGTTATCGGGGGTGCCTTTTAATTCGTGGACTTATTAGGGCTAGATGTTGTAATTTAGGGTTTCTCGAGGTGGGTTTTTGTGAGTTTGAGTTGAGGGAGAAAAAGTTTTGATTTTTTTTTTTCTGGGGGTGATACAATCCAGGCCAGGTTAAATTAATTGGTGTCTTTGTATGTGAGTTGCATGTCCATGTGATCACGGGGTTCGCATCAGGGGAGTAGTAGAGAAGCATGGGGTGGGAAAGAGCTTAATAGTTATTGGTTGTGTTTATTGTTTGGTGAAAGGATTGGGTTAGATGTTATAATATAAGGGTTTTTTGAGTCGTGTTTGTGATTTGAGCTCCAGGAGGTGAAAAATTTCTTTTTTTTTTTGTGGGTTAGGGAGATAATGCTTGAAGATTGAATTAGATTGCTTCTGTATTATTGAATAAAGAATTAAACTACAGGAGTGATATTGGTTGTTTTTTTATGCAGGGAAAAATCGCGATCTCTCACAGAAGTTTTGGAGGTGAGGAGGATTGTGTTGTTTTATTTTGTTGCAGTTGGAAACTTTTTTATTCAAAAAGTTGTATTTTTTGTCGTAGGCTTGCTATTTGTGGAGTTGAATTTTGTGTTTCTTATTTGTTTGTTTGATTGTTTTATTTCAGCACCAAGGATCCAGGGCAAAAGCCTTTCGCTTTCAAAATTGGCCAAGGATCTGTCATAAAGGGTAGGAGCCTGGTATCATTGTGTTTGCTACGAATACCAATCTTTTCATTTACTTTCATTCAGTGAAAATAAGCAAGCGTTTGACTATAGGATCATGTGTACTTTTTAAAAGCTATGTTGATGAATAGTAGTGGCTATTTGCTTTCTCTATTTCTTCCCCTCATGATTTTAGTGGTGATGTGAACATGAAAACAATTGACCCTGAGATGGAAGAAATGAAGAAAATCCTAACAATTAGCTGATGCCAGTGCTTGTTTCCCTACTTCGCTCTTCATTATGCCTTTTCTTTTGTGGCCACTAACTCCTCTTTTCTTGATATAGGAAGACTTGCAGATTTTTTCTGGCTATTCTTTTTTGTTTATGAAATAGTACACATGTTAGGTGCACTGATTATATTTTTCTAAACAAGAAAATTCTGGCATTACCAGAAATTTTACTGTCTGCTTTATGGAGGAAATGAAATGCCTATTTCTTGATAGATCCAACTGCATGCTTTCTTTGTGTATTCAATTTCATTACAGCCTTGTAGTTTTCACTGGTTATAAGCATGTTACATATCAAGTTAATAGAATCGCTGCTTTAGATGGGCAATTTGCCTCTGTTTGTAAATGCTCAATAGGATATGTTTTGATGAAGAACTTATTATCCCATTCAATTTATTGCAGGATGGGATGAAGGTGTCATGGGAATGCAAGTGGGAGAAGTTGCTCGCCTGCGGGTATTTCCTTATTATTCTGTATTTTTTCAATGCCGCCAATAAAATGGTCTCTCATGCATCAAGTGAATTAAGAATCACTATTTTGTGGTTTCAGTTGAATTATTGTTGGCAAATGCACGGAACACAATGTTTCTGTGATTGCAGAAAAATCTTACAATTGTCCCTTTGCCTTGTCTGAGCATACGGATTGATATTGTTTGAAATATGTATTTTCATGTAGCTTGCAATTCTAATAGTATCTAGGGATACTTTCCAAATAATTGGCAAATGTTAGGAAATCAATCCTCTCTATTCAATCACTTACCATTATATTATGTAAAAATAAAAATAATCATGCTCTTTTCCTTTCTTCCTCCTTTCACATTCACTGTGGCTCACCATTCACCCATTTTCTTGCTCTGGGCGAGTAATTCTGAGATTTTGTTGGAGGTTACAGTTACCCTTTACTTTTTTATTATTATTATTTGTTAAAATTAAGAACACTTCAAATAGCTGAAACTTTTAACATTTTTCCATCTATACTCTGATCCTTCGAACTGCTTACAAATAGCTACAGCATACTTGTGTGAGCATGCTTCTTGATAGATCAAGAATTGGATTATGTTGCTCTCCAAAGTTTCAATATCTAACACAAATGATCTTCTTGAATGATTTTTCAGTGTTCTCCTGACTATGCTTATGGAGCTGGTGGATTTCCAGCTTGGGGAATACAACCAAACTCGGTCCTGGATTTTGAGATTGAAGTCCTAAGTTTGGAGTGAGTAAATCGTGGGAGGGGACTATTCTAAATAACTTGTCATAGACATGAATATTATCTCCCAGCGTTTGATGAACATGTAATATGTTTAAGATGGAGCTATTTACTCTTGTTCTCTTACTAGGAACAAGATTTGTAGCTTGGTTAAGCATTTCGTCATCTTGAAATGAGCAATGATTTGGTGCCAAGCATTATGAAGCACTCAGTTTTCTCATGTGTTTATGCTTTTGCTCGTGCCACCACATGACCAGATAGGTTGTGGAATTGACTGGAGGTATATTAGCACCATAACATGCACTTTAATCAAACAAGTAATTGGCATCCTTGCCTGCGTTCACCCCGACAGCAAACAGACACCGATGTAAAACTCAGTAGTGTTATGTTCTGTGTGTCTTGCCTTGAAAAATTATGCTGAAGCTCTGGATCTAAGATAGCTTCCGTTTGATACTGTATTCAGTTGGGGTGAGTAAATATTATCTGCATGTGTTTTTTAGTGTTTGGTATTGGGATGGATTTAAAAATATTTTTTATTTGAAAATATATTAAAATAATTGTTTTCTTTAATTTTTTTTTTAATATTAGCATATTAAAATCATATAAAAATATTAAAAAAACATTAATTTAATATTTTTTTCAAGAGTATTTTTTAAAATTACATAGAATGCAAAAATAAACAATGTGTTGGCGAAATCAAATAACAGGAAAAGAAGAAGATGCAATTTTGGTTTTCTGGCAAGTCTTGATCTGAGGCAAGTTTCTTAAATGGAATGGAGTTTTGTTAGGGTGAAGACCTCTGACCTCTAGCAGTGACCTTCACATGACACATCAGTGTCAGCCCTCCTCCCACTGGCAAACGCGCACAAACGCAGAAAAATCGACAGAATTTGGAATGGTTGTTGTTGTTATTTTTAAAAATAATTTTTAGTTAAAAATGTATTAAGATAATATTTTTTTTTAATTTTTTAAAATAATTTTTAAACACATTAAAATAATTTTAAAATATAAAAAAATATTAATTTGAAGAAAAAAATAAAAAAATAAATTTTTTTAAAATAAAAACAAACAGGATATTTTCAACGAAAATTACTGGTTGGTGGGCTGTTCTGAGTTTTCAAACAAAGTGGGCACTTTCAACCAAAAAGTGCCGCAGCTGCAATGAGATGTGGCAGGTAGCCCAGAGGACAAAACACAGAACATGTCCAGTAAGGAAGCATCCCATATAATTCCACAAGTGGCACCCCCCTTGTCAAGTTGAATTGTATGGCATTCTTTTTGCTATATTGAAGTCAGTCAAACCGATACTGCCGATATCGGTCACAAAAAATCACCTTTGAACAAGCAAGCGCACCAACTAGTAGAGCACAGTCAACGATATCCGGAAGTGAGATAGCCGCGTCAAGGTTTCAAGAAGGTCTCTATGTTCTTTCCCTTCTCTCATTCGACTCTCTGTATATAAACATGGGTGATCCTCTTAACACTCATCAACACATCGCAGCTCACTTCTTTCTCCCATATTCACTTTCTTCAATTCTCTGTCAGAATTCCCAATTAATTCAACTCTTTGTTTGATCAATATATCAGCCTTCGAGTATTCCATTAGAAATCATAACATGGGTTTGAAAGGTTTTGCTGAAGGTGGTATTGCCTCCATCATTGCTGGAGCTTCCACACACCCTCTAGATTTAATCAAGGTCCGGATGCAACTTCAAGGTGAATCCCACATCCCAAATCCATCTGCCTTACAATCCTATCGCCCTGCTTTTTCCTTGAGCTCTGCTGCCAACATATCCTTACCAACCACCTTAGGAGTCCCTCCTCCACCCCGTGTTGGACCCCTTTCCATTGGTCTACGTATCATCCAATCCGAAGGTGCTAATGCCCTTTTCTCTGGTGTCTCTGCCACCATACTACGCCAAACCCTATACTCCACCACTCGTATGGGCCTTTATGATGTCCTCAAACATAAATGGACTGATCCGGAGACTAATAACATGCCACTTGCAAGTAAGATAGTGGCTGGATTGATCTCCGGTGCTGTCGGGGCGGCTGTTGGTAACCCTGCAGATGTGGCAATGGTTCGTATGCAGGCTGATGGGCGTCTCCCTTTTGAACAACGTAGAAACTACAGGAGTGTTGTGGATGCCCTAGGTCAAATGTCAAAGCATGAGGGTGTTGTCAGCTTATGGCGCGGTTCAGGTCTTACAATCAATCGTGCAATGATTGTGACTGCATCACAACTTGCAACATATGATCAAGCCAAGGAGATGATTTTGGAGAAGGGTTTGATGAATGATGGGATTGGGACCCATGTTATGGCAAGTTTTGTGGCTGGTTTTGTTGCTTCTGTTGCTTCAAACCCCATTGATGTGATCAAAACTAGAGTTATGAACATGAAAGTTGAGCCCGGAGTGGAACCACCTTACAAGGGTGCATTAGATTGTGCAATGAAGACGGTTAGGGTAGAGGGTCCTATGGCCTTGTACAAGGGGTTTATCCCTACAATTTCAAGGCAAGGACCTTTTACTGTGGTGCTATTTGTCACGCTGGAGCAAGTTAGGAAATTAATTAAAGATTTCTGATTATTACTTATGATGTGTTCAACTAAAAATTCACGTATATTTATTGATTTATTTGTTCGACTTCAATTATACATTGGAATCAATATGATTTTTATTCTCCTTCATGATTTGTCTAAGAGAGTGGTAGAACATGAGTACTGATGAACAATAGCCAGCTATGGTTCTACAATACAATTCCTCAGATCATGATGATCAAATGCTAGGTTCTAAACGTGGCTTCTGAGCTCTTCCTTCATGCTTGAAAGACCACTCGCCTCATCTTCACCTCCTGGGCTCATGGCTAGAAGTTTGCTAGACCTCAGCAGTCAGTTCCTAAGGCATCTATATAGATGATCAGAAGTGGGCCTTAACAGTGACATATGGTTCTCCAGGATGCTACAACGAAGCTCATCGTTGCTAGCTTAAGCTGCTGAGGGTTTCCTGATCATCAGATTAAAGATTAAAATACAGCAAGATATTATCATATATAATGCCAGTTTGGAGCATAGTTAGATTTTACGCCCATTATTCAGCCTGCAAGGAGAGATGTCCCAATGACAAGAGTTCAGCAATCATTCATTTTCACTCTTCACTCCTCGTGGTTTAGCCGCTCTCTCACCAGCCATTTTGCTGGGCCAACTTCTCTTCTACAGCAAGATTTCATTAGCTACATGAGCTCGAAATATTCAGCTCTCGTGGTTTGAACAATGATGCTGCATTATATCCTTGTTGCACGTGAATCAATATGCTGAAACACAGTTTTATTGTCGGGTAGTTCGACACCCAAGTAAAAGTTTGTCTGGCACAGTTACGATTATTTTTTATATTTATTCACTTGGTTGTGTTTGGCATATGTTACAAAATAGGAGGAACAAGTATATACAAAAATAATATAAACATGTTTGATTACTAAAAAAATAATATAAAATAAAATTGTTTGTAGATAATTTTAAAATGAATTTTAAACAAATAACAATAGTTGCTTTTAAAAGTTTTTTTTATTTAAAAATACATCAAAATAATATTTTTTAAGTTTTTTAAATAATTATTTTTGATATTAACACATCAAAATAATTTAAAAATATAAAATACTAATCTTAAACCAAAGATTTTTTAAGTTTTTAAAAACAAGAATTCAAACACAAAAACTTTAAAAAATATTCTCACTGGGTTGAGTTATCATCAATTCTATTTATAGTAAAACTCAATTTATTTTTCTAGTAATATTACTTTACTAAACATTCCTTTCATTGACTAGATCTAAATATTCAAATTTATCGGAAAATAAGTATTATATATATATATAAATTAAATTAAACAAAATTATTATAGTTAAACTTATAAAATATTATTCATTGAGATATTATTATTTGTTTTTTCCCCTCAATTTAACCTTTTAATAATGAACTAGTTGATTTGTTAAGTTAATACAGCCTTTTATCTTAATTTAACCTTTTTATAATGAATTAGTTTGTTAAGTTAATATGGATGGATTCTATTTATTTTTTTAAAAAAATTTAATTAATCTTTTTTAATTATACTTGTACTTATAGCTATTAAACATTAACCTATTCTCTCATCCGGAATTAGTTGATTGCCAATAAAAGTTATGAAATACAACCTTGCTTGCCCAGTATTTACTAAGTTTATGGAATTATAAAGTTACTTTTTTCTCCTCCAGAAATTAATTATTACTAAAGCTGATTTATAAAAGAGATTCAAACTTTAAGGCCTGCAGTGGGAATTAAAAAGTTTACCTAATCAGTCGAATGCTAAATTATTCTATTTGCCGGACACTTAACAATGAAGATTCAATTCGGGCAAGGAGGCAAGGTGTATAATTAAGCACTAGATTAATATAATATAGTATATACTTTTTGTATTATATTTTATCAAGGCTTTTGCTAAAAAATAACGTGGTATATATATATATCCTCCACTACAAAACATAAAGTATCACACAGGAGACCACATCACCTTCGAAAACCCCATTTGCTTATATTGAATCAAGTGGAATATTACAACATTATATTGACTCATTACACACATTTATACCTTCTTTGCTCAACATCAAATATAGATTCTATGGTTACTTGAATCACTATAAATAATCATTTTTATTTTTATGTTTTAAAAATATTTTTAAATTTTTTTGAATTTTAATTTTAATTTTTAATTTTAAATTATTCTTTTTAGTGTTTTTAAATTGTTTTGATGCATTAGATATCAAAAATAATTTTAGAAAAATAAAAAATATTATTTTTATTTATAAATAAATTAAAATATTTTAAAAAATAATTATTTATATATTAGTAAATATACTAGGAAAAGCAAATTCGAGCTAAGGGGTACGTGGGGCCATATTGTAACATCGAGGGCCTAAAGTTGGTGGTGTATTTTCCATTAGGAGTGGGAGGAAAATGATGACCACTACATAAAACTTGGACTGTTGGGGATTCGAGAGGAGGAGCCGAACTTTACCAAACTATATGCCTAGATTAGGTAGAAAATCAAGTATTTGGACGAATATCGTAATATTTATTGATTAATTCATATTATTTAAAACACACTCTTAATTTCTTTTTGCACTGGTCATTATATTTATAAGAAGATTATATCTCTAATTATCATAATCTAACAAGAATTTTAATTAATTAGAACACAAGAGTATCTAGATGCATGTCTTAATACTAATTCACACTCTTCAAAACACAGATTTGAACTCTTCATGCATTGCCGGTCCTTGTGTTTATAAGAAAATTACACCTCTAATTATCTTAATCTAACAATAATTCTAATTAATTATTGTTAGATTAATGATGGATCTTGATCACACTTGGAAATAAGAAGATTAAAGAGAGATTTTTCTCGAGTATTGGCTGTTCAAGGCTAATAAAATCTTGAATGAAAAAAGAAAAAAGAAGGGTGAAACTGAAGCAATTGATTTGATTATTATTTAATTTACAAGCAAGAGAAGAGAGGAACAGTGCCCCTGTATCCTGCAACCTATCTGCTGGAAAATTTGGATCATCTTTGATTGCCTTAAAAAGGGAAGACCTTATGATGTTTTGATTAAATATCAGCTCGCCCCCTATGATTCTTGTTCCCTCCACTCTCATGAATAATTTATATATAATATAATTCATCATAATTGATTTTTTATTATATACTTTTACCATTTATTTTATGGGATTTCTATATACACGAGTGCTATCTACAATTAAAAATTCAAGAGTCAAGAATTGTTTTATTTTTTATTTTTTATTTTTTTGTGTGCATAAGTTGGAGCCGGCAATCGATGCCATTTTAATTATTAGTTAATACAAGGCTCTTTTAATTTATTATATTAATTATTTTTTTCCTGTGGGGTCAATATTGCACTATGGAGATCACCTTCTCTCTGCCTTGAGATGGGCAATGAGTATTTTAATTATTAGATTAGCAAGTAGTAGAGTGGATACTTATGAGCAATGGCACATTTTAATGACTATATGATTTAAGGTGTTTATTATCATTATTGGTATAATTACAATCATATCAAAAAAAAAAAAAAGACTTGGGCTAGCCCAGCTCAAGCCTTCAGCTCTTGTTTTCTTGAAATGGCAGCTGAGCCCCATGGTGTTTCAGTCCCTTCAAGTGCTCTGGGTGCCATTCCATGGATCTTAGAAACACAAAAATCTAAGAACCTCAAAAAAAAAAATAATCACATTATGAAAAGTACAAGGAAGTTTTACAACTAATAGAAATTCAACAGAGTTGTGAGTTAATAGATGGTGTTGTTTTTATTTTAAAATAGAAATAATATCGAACCATTTAAGCTTGGTTAAGTCAGTTAATTTTTTATTAATTTTTTTTAAATTCAGCTGAAATAAAATAAATAATTAAAATAAACTAAAGTCATAAATCATATTATAAAAGTAAAAGGAAGTTTTACAAATAATGAAAAATAGAAACTCAACATAACTGTAAGTAATTATACTATAATTATCAAGTGATGCGTTCCATCAATCTTATATAAGGTTATTAAACTATGTTGATTTATTTAATTTTTTAAAAATAAAAATTATATTAAATTATTTAGATTTAACCGAGTCAATTCCCAACCAATTCTTTTAAAACTCAGTCAAAATCAGGTTCAAAAATCAACTCGCTACATGTCTAATAATTTACATAATTACAAGCTTTTATCATGAAAACTTGAACCCACGCCACGCCTAGGAAGCACGTATATATATCTTCGATGATTCCCTCTTCTTATGCAACTCGAGAGAGATAATGTTCAATGCAATGAATTTGGTAGTGCATACTAAATTTCGGATAAATTATGTGCTAAATCATTTTGTAAATTGCTTTTCATTAAAAAAAAAGCTAATACACAAACGTTAAATCAAATTTATGCTTATAAATAACATCATAATTCGTAAAAAATATGTATAAAAATATTGCCGGTATATATAAACTAATGTGGTGCAGATTTTAAATATAGAATATTGATATTTTCCAATAAATAATGGACTAGAATTCTATTGTATTGCGAGAAAAATCTAAATCACGTGGAAAAAAACTGTTTTGGCTCTGTGAATCTAAGCTTTTTACGTTGTGGATGTGCTCCATTTGGCTTCGTTCTAATTAGGCTTAGGGATAATATGGTCTTTACCATACTATGGTTTGGGTTGCCAAGAATTGTTTTAGTATTCTGAACTAGAGGGGTGAGAAAAAAATCAATAAATATATTAAATTGGAAAAATTAAAAATTTAATTGAAAAAATTAAATCATAAAAAAACTGATTAAATCAATTATTTTATTATTAAAAAAAATTAGTTTAGTTTAGTTTTTATAAGTTTGAAATTAAAAAACCAAACCAAACGAGTCTAGTTAAGAAATAAATCAGATTAAAAATCAAATTGAAAAAAATCCATTAAAAAGTCAAGAAAACCCTTAAAGGCAATATAATTTTTAGTTTTTAATATAAAATAATTAATTTAAATTGAAATCAGTTGATTGAGTTTTAATTTTTAATTTAAAATAATTAAATTGATTCAAAATTGATTGGTTGAAACCAAATTTGACTTGGTTTTAATTTTTTTTATATTTTTATAAAATTTTAATTTAATTATTTTTATA